TACTGTAATATACTCAAGACCAGGATTAATTGAATAAGAGTACTGGTGACTGCACCGAATTAGAACAACGACTTATAATTGGTTAAATTGTTTTAACAATAACAATAGCTTCGGGAAAACGGTTTTAATTAAAATTTATTGAAAACAAAAGAAGTTTTTTTACTCTTCCTCTAAGGTTAAATCGTTAGCATGCAGTTATTGTTGTTGTAGGATAAATAAACCAGTCAATAATTTTTGCAGACTAAACGCAGTACATTCGGCTGACTACTCTCCATTTGGAGCTTTTATCAAAAAACACGGAGGACAAAAACAGATGAAAATTGAACAGGAGCAGCTAAAAATTGATAAATATCAAATAACGGCATTAGGGGCGGGAAACACAAATTTCCCAATAGCATACACTAAAGACCTTAGACTAGAAATAGCTGAATAATAATATATAGTCATCTTTATTACTGAATATACATTTAAATAATATTTTCAAGTAAAAAAACACGTGATGCTGCCTTTGTGAGAATGGTTCGCTCTTATTAATATTAATGAAGGAATAATTCCGCATAATTATTATATAAGGAGGAGTGCACTCTAAACCTCTACATTCCCTGCACTGGGCTTATCCTAGCTGCGCTCACTTCACTAGCTACTGTAGTCTGTCTAGTGAGATCAGATGACAGGGCCGCTCACTCTAGAGGAAGTGTTATTGTAATCCTCATGAATCTGGGTCTCATTATCTACTTCGTTCTTCTCTTTTCAGCAACCCAGTATCTCCCTTTCGGTAAGGATACCAAGCTCAAATATCTGAAGACAGGACAGTACGAAGTGTACTTATATTTCTACTACTTTGTAGGAATCTACATTACCCTTCTTCTTGATGTGTACAACCCTCTGGTAGTGGCCATGTAGAAACAGAGTCCACTCTTTAGATAGACTAGCAAGAATCCGCATAACCCTAAAATGGTGTCAAGACTCAAAGACATCAAAGTCACCCACTCCTCTGCTACCTCCCTCCGCAACCTCCTCACCAAAACGAAGACCACACCCCCTACTCACCTCACTCCCAACACCATCTACGAAATTTCCTGCTCACAGTGCCCCTCCAAATACGCCGGACAGACCTACAGACCCTTGGTCCACCGCATGAAAGAACACGAACGATGTTACAGACTCAACAACGCCATCGACGAATCCACAGACAGAATCAAATCAGCCCCTGCACATCATGCCCTGACCACCGGCCACACCATCTCCTGGAACAACATCGAAGTCCTCAAATCCCTCACCTCACGCTCCCAACTTGACCTCACAGAACACGCAGCTATACAAATACGACAACCAGCTATGAACAGAACAGACCGCGCACCCAAATGTAGTTCCCTCTGGGACCCCATTCTTCCTAAAATTGCCAAATCCTTAAAGTCCAGACCATCTGGCATTTCCTTCTCAACCTCAACAGAAGACTAAATTTTTATTGACATTGTACTGTAATTTTCACTTTCCCACCCACACCTCCCCCACCCTCCATCCCTGACACCACTCAATCACATATAAGCATTGTCCACCACATCACATTCAGCTGACGACGATTAACACATGTTTATTGAAAGCTTCTACAAGTTAAATCATCGTATCTCTTATATGTTTTTAACCCAACTCCACTCAGTTTTATTTTGATACGCAACACCACCCCTATGGATCAGACAGCAAACAGTGCAGAATCCACAGAAACACCTAATCAACACACCAACCTTACAACACAAACACCTAATCAACACATCAACCCTACCACCCAACTTTCATTTAATGACTCACTCATATCACTATTTGGACAGCATGCATCCACACTGGCCAAAACCACCTCTCACAGCATAGAACACATGGCCATTAACTCATGTCACATATCATTCCTGAAAGCCTGCCGTGATCACTCACTCATCCCTAAGGGACTCAGACTCACCAACCCACTATCCACCAAACGCTCAACTGAAGTCCTCACTCACGCATCTAACCTCCTCATCACTGAAAGACTCAACCACTATCGCCTCAAATACGCACAACACAAACGCACTTATGAGCACAACCTCAGACACATAGAATCACTCATAACCCCTCAATATTTTCAGAAACTAGGACACCTCAACACCAAAAAATCCTCATACACCCACAGAAAACAACTCCTTACTCACCAAAAGAAGTTCGCGGTACTACTCTCAGAATACGACACCCCGTTCCTCTCACCCTACGACACTCTTAAAACGCTCGACATACCCTCTCCCACATTTCATGGTCCCCTCCTCAAGACCTCACCTACCCCCAAGAAAGACACCACAGCCAAAACAGTGATCAACCTCTCTGGACAGACCCTCTCCACAGCTGAAACTGACGTCCTCTCCCTTGGACTGAAGTTCGTCCCGACACCCACCTCAGATCCTACCCCCGACCTGGCTCCCCTCATACAGAATATCACTAAACAATTAGGAGAAGGCATGGAAGCCTCAGCCACATATCAGGTCACCTCTGTATTATCTAAATTTGACAATAAACGTGACATGACCACCGACAATTTGACTCCACAACAACGTACCGCTCTTAAATCTTTAAAATCTAAGAAATCTGAATTGAAATTTCTTCCTGCTGATAAGGGCAACGCCACTGTTGTACTGACTCACGATCAATACATAACCAAAGTTACCGACCACTTATCCTCAGGTAGTTACACCCTCTTAACGAAAGACCCCACTCAATCCGTTACCACTAAACTACAGAAAGTCCTCAAGAAACTACACACCGACAAGAAGATCACGACCGACCTATACCACAAGATGCGCAACCTACATCCTAGATGGCCTCAACTTTACGGACAACCTAAGATACACAAACCCGGCGCACCTATCCGTCCCGTAGTCAGCTTCTACAACACCCCCCTCCAAGCCCTCCACAAAGTCCTCGCATCTTTCCTCAAACCCCTAGCTCAGAACCCCTTACGCCTCAAAGACTCTTCCGACTTCAAACATCGCTTCGACTCCTCCCTCAATCCCTCCTTCCACTACCACGCCTCCTTAGACGTCCAATCCTTGTACACCTCCTGTGACATGCGCCTAGCCCTCAAAACTGTCATCTCCTCCTTTGAACACAACCCCTCTCGTCTTCCCTCCAATGTCACCACCACCACCATAGGCTCCCTTATCAACTTTTGCCTTGACAACTCATACCTTGAATTCAACGGCTCCTTCTACTCCCAAGACGAAGGTGGTACAATGGGATCCCCCCTCATTGTTGAACTAGCTGAAATCCGCCTTGCTGAAATCGAGACCTTAGCTTTATCCTCATGTCCTGACCCTCCGAACACTTACTCCCATTTCGTTGACGACGGCCTTGGATCTTTCAGAGACAGAAACCACGCAGAATCCTTCCTTACATTCCTTAACTCCCTTACTGAAGACCTCAACTTTACCCAAGAACATCCCTCTACAGACGGAACTATACCCTTCCTTGACGTTCTCATCCACCCTGACAAATCCACATCAGTCTACAGAAAACCCACCCACACCAACCTCTACACCAAGTACTCCTCCTGCACCACCAACTCATCTAAGAACGCAGTCATCCGATCACTGACCAGAAGAGCCCACAACATCTGCTCACCCCAACACCTTGACGACGAACTCCAGACAGTACGACACGTTTGCCTCCAGAACGGCTTCCCTCCTCACCGCATCACCACCATCATGGACGAAGTCCAACGGAAATTCACCAACCCCTCTCGCCACCAATCCCTAGCCTCATTCAACCGACAGACCCGTGAACATGCCCTTAGTGTTTCTCTTCCTTTCCATCCCTCCCTATCCAAACCCATCTCCAAGATACTCGGACAACACGACATCAAAGTCACCCACTCCTCTGCTACCTCCCTCCGCAACCTCCTCACCAAAACGAAGACCACACCCCCTACTCACCTCACTCCCAACACCATCTACGAAATTTCCTGCTCACAGTGCCCCTCCAAATACGCCGGACAGACCTACAGACCCTTGGTCCACCGCATGAAAGAACACGAACGATGTTACAGACTCAACAACGCCATCGACGAATCCACAGACAGAATCAAATCAGCCCCTGCACATCATGCCCTGACCACCGGCCACACCATCTCCTGGAACAACATCGAAGTCCTCAAATCCCTCACCTCACGCTCCCAACTTGACCTCACAGAACACGCAGCTATACAAATACGACAACCAGCTATGAACAGAACAGACCGCGCACCCAAATGTAGTTCCCTCTGGGACCCCATTCTTCCTAAAATTGCCAAATCCTTAAAGTCCAGACCATCTGGCATTTCCTTCTCAACCTCAACAGAAGACTAAATTTTTATTGACATTGTACTGTAATTTTCACTTTCCCACCCACACCTCCCCCACCCTCCATCCCTGACACCACTCAATCACATATAAGCATTGTCCACCACATCACATTCAGCTGACGACGATTAACACATGTTTATTGAAAGCTTCTACAAGTTAAATCATCGTATCTCTTATATGTTTTTAACCCAACTCCACTCAGTAAGACTCAAAAGACTAAAATAAGTAATATAATTATTTTAATTCGCGTTTTTGACACCACTTGGGGGTCCGAATTTTGGGATCTAAAACTCCTATTCCTTGGCCCATTTTGTATTTTTTATGCTGATTTTGAGGCCATCAAAGCATTTGACCCAGTAAAAAAGTTTCAGTTGTATATCTTTTACGGTCGCGTTAAAGTTGATGCCGTGGTGTCAGTAAAATGGTACGGATCCATATATATCGTAGTAAGATTAATAATAATGTAGCTTAGTTCGTCCGTTTGTATTGCTTGTCAAACCTTTGTATTAAATTTGGCCTACATTTTCTAAGGAATCATATTATTTCTCAATGAGTGAATAAGTTTGTTAGTGTTGTAGTTAGTTTAAACTCGCTGGAGTTTATAGATTAAGGACTAACATTTCCATTATCCCAAGACTAGTGAGTGTTGTGAGCTAAAGATGATCTCTGCAATAAAGCCCTCGGTTTGGTTGCTTGTTCTCTGCTGTCTTTATCATGTGTCTGCTGTCTCATTGGAAATAGACGAAGACTCAAACGACTGCACAATAGCAAAATCAAGTGTTTCGATAGGATGTGGGATAGCCGGGGCTGTTGTTGCACTCGGGAGTATCTCGGCATGCGTAGCAACTGCTGGTGCTGCTTGCGGTGCACTCGCGGCTATTGGTGCGGTGGCAGGAATTTGTGGAACTGCGACAGGAGAAGTCAACTGCGAAGAAGGTCAGTAATTTGCTTAATTATTAAGTATTATTGATTAAATTATTTTCTTCTTTAATGAAACCTGCAGTCTCCAAAACAAGTCTGCAAAGTTATTTTTAAAAGTTTGTAAAAAGTATTAATTTTTTGTCGACTGTGCTATCCACGCAAATTATCAGTTCAAGAATCAACAAATTTGATATAACCAAAGGAACTCCACTATTTCCTAGCTTGCAAAAGTCAATTCCGGTTAATCAAATTTCACACCCCAGTCAATCACTGGTTCAGAATTATTAAACCCATCCTTTTCAATCATTTTTACTCAGATTCAGATACGGATAAAATTATTAAGCTCCTCGGAAATATCAAATCAGATATAGCGGACGTGAGCAGAGACGTTCAGATAGGATTTTTTGATGACAAGTATGAAAGCGACATAGAGGCCATCCAGTTAGTAAAAAGAATTTATTGTGGTAAAATTTCGCCTAGTTTGAAGGAGGAACTTTGGGCTTCTTTTGATTGTTACTTGTGATATTCCAAACACAAACGGGCATCATTCCATTTATCTTAGGAGACATATTTATTGGAAATAGCTCATATAGACCGCCCGCTATTGATTGCAAAAAATATCAATTTTATGTCCACAGAAAAAATCCTCGAATCTCCAACCTTATACACATATTATGTGGATATGTCTCCTTAAGAATACAGAAATATAATGTTTAACTAAAAATTGTATAGTAGAATGAATGTGTAATTCGATCCTTCATACTTCACACTATCATCACGTTTAACCAATTACACAATAACATAACGCAGGAACGCAGGAGAGATGTACGAAAAATATGTGATAAGAGAAATGAAAAATGGGTCGCTGACAGATTCGTTTTATACGAATGAATGGATACGAATGATGGAAACTGATTACAAAATGGAAAATACATTGATGGAGATTGATGATATGATTACGGGAGAGGGGAAAAGTGGCGTGAATACTCACTCATCCATTTACAAGATAGCAAGAGAATACAACCTTTGTTCTCCGGACCTTTACCATCATGTTTTCAACCTCCTCACCCAGGGCACAACCCTTAACTTCATCTACTTGCAAACGTCTTCAAAAGAAGACGTTGACCAAAATCATTGGAATGATTTTGAGAAGAGAGTTCTTGCCAACGAAAGGATGTATGACACATATTGCCGTAAGTGTTTTGGTTTGCCATTCTTTATGTTCTCTAGTGCTACATTGTTAGTATAATTTATAATTACCTGATTGAAAGCCTAGTACTACAAACTTATTGATGTTCTTTGAAGGATTTTGCCGGTTGATTTCATCCAGATCATCAATAATACCAAATGTATAATATTAATAACATTCATGAAGCCAGCTCAATCTACAGGTAACAACGTTGCCATCGAAAGTTTTCGTATCAAGATATCTGACAGAAGTTACGCAAACTCGGGAGGGTCCATCAGAATTGGAGTCAAGCAAGGAGAAAATAGCTGTGAAACAGATAAAGAAATATTTGATAAACCAAAGAGAAATGAAGAAATGACAGAAGATGACGAGGACAAGTTTGGCTCTTGCTCCGGAAAATGGTTCCAGCCCCGCCTCAATGAACAACCCTTAGAAATCAGAATCCTGTCAAATTCTGGCGACGATGCCTACATAGACAAAGCAGCGATCAAGATTGGGGGAGTTTGGAGGGAGTGGGTCGATTACCAAGTTAAGATAAATAAGCATGGGGAAGGGAGCACTTGGAAAACTGTTATTTATCCAGGTATTACAGTTTAGCAATCTATTTTTGTTTGAGGACGACAAAATTGGTGGCATTTTATAAGTTTGGATTGATTAGTTTGCACTGATACCATTAACCAATAACAATCACTTTAACTATAATTTTTTCCGTATGCCAACAACTCTTATCTAGCAGTAAAGCTTAAAAGACAACACCCACTTTTGCAATGTTTCACAATATTTTCGAAATACCAAGGAATTGATTTCTAAGAAAAATACTACCTTATCGAACATAATTGTCACGGACAAGTATTTCACGGACCAAATTTTTCATGGACATAATTATTCACGCTCATGACCGCCCAAAAATTTCCAAAAAATTGTAAACATTTTTGGGGATTTTTAATAAGTGTTGTACTCTTTTTCTGAACTTTCTGAATGTGACTGAGGTGTGATTATATTTGTCCTAGTATACTAATCTTAAACAATAATCTCGGAGTGTGTCTGTGTGTCTGTCAGTGTGTCTGTCTGTCTGTGTGTGCGCGTGTAATTTCCGAGCGGCTTAATCAAGAAAACGGCAAGAGTTACGGGACTGGTTTTTCGGTATAGTTTCGACACGGACAAAACTCTGACGAAGCCAAATGAATAAGGTTTTTCAAATTGGTCGGTGGTAAGTGGTTTTATTGATGGTTTTGTAGGTACCACAAATGTGACATAAAATGGCTCTCTTTTTCTCCCTCCTCGCTTAGGTGCCATCTTTGATGATGCACGGCTTTTGGAGCTTCAGTAAGTGTAAAAGTCGCGTAATTTGACGAAATTCGATATTTCTTAATGCTCGTGCTTCATTTCCTTGCTTTACATCTTGGTGAAAATTTCTTAGTACATTCTTTAGGGAACATTCTAAATGGTCCCCAAAAATCTAGGAAAAAATTGAAAAAACTGCCGAGTTATGGCAAAAAAACTACGTAAAATAACAAATATCAAGAACTTTTCAATTTTTAGTAATTTCTCATGAAGCTAAAAAAATGATTCTTTGCAGCCATCCTTATAGACTAATAAACTAACTGATACTTAAATTTCAGGCTGATTGCCTACAATATGTATTTTTCCGAGCGATAAAACTACATTTAACAAAATACTGCGAAATTCAGCATTAGAATTTTGCGCCTCAATATTGTGCACCTCCTACTATATAAGCTTATTAAGGGGGGATTGCACTCATTGCGGTCTGTTTGGACTGCAGAGAGAGAGTTCATACTTTCATACGACAATTTTATGCGATGTTTCAAATATAATAGGCGGGTGTGGTGCGGAGTTAACAAGGGTTAATTTCTAAAACAATTTAAATAAGAAATGGAAAGCGGTTCAAGACGGGATCAGTGATGCGGTGTAATAGTCGTGGTTCTGGGGCCGGTACGGACTACGGACCTTATGATTATGGAATGTGGTGCCTAATAATAATTTAATTATCCACGAGAAAGAACTGATTATGCGATTATGATAAATACTATTGGATACGTGAGGGCACTCCGAATAGAATTGCTCACCTAATGCGGGTTTTAACTCAGCGGGTAAATACTCCTACCCTTTTTAACTACGGCAGTGAAATCCCGGCTGAAGCTACTAAGGTAATATAGTAATCTGCTACACACATATCTACGCATATGTAGGGACACACTAAAATTAATGGAAATAATTACCGGACTTTATTATTCACAGACCTTAATGCCACAGACATTATTTTCACGGACATAATAATTCACGCTAAGGTCTTCAGCGTGAAAGTAATGTCCGTGATAATTATGACCGATAAGGTATATTTTTTATATAAACATATTGTAATGCACAACCACAACCACAACCAGAATCATCCAAAGCTTGCATCAACGGAGGTATGTGTGGATACTGCGAAGAGAACGCCTGCTACAAGGGCGCGGTCGACTACACAGCCAATAATGGTTTCAGTAATGGCTACACAGTCATTAAGATTGGCGAGGAGTTGAAGTCTCTCGACGAAAAATACACCTTGAAAATGCAGGAAGATGGAAACTTGGTGCTCTATTGCAATGGAACTAATGCTCTGTGGGCTTCTGATACGTCGGATAAGACTGTAGAGGGAGGTCTTCAGTTCCAGTCTGATGGTAACCTGGTACTCTACAGTCCTGACCGCACAGCACTCTGGAGTCCTAACTCCTACGATAAGGGAGTCACCAGCATGGTTCTGCAGGATGACGGTAACTTGGTTCTCTATACTGACAACGGAGAAGCTATATGGGACTCTGAGACCTATGATAAATGTTAATTTAAATCACTCTGAACCATTTAATCCTATGCATATTTAACATTTTTGGGATTACTTTTCGAAGATTTTCAATGCGTAAACAGGTACATTGAACAATTAGTTGATAACTTTCCACTCTTAAATATTTTAAATAAGAGCATGTGTAAAATAGCATATCGTTTAAGACTTGGAACAAGCTGTTATTATATCGTTATATCTATAAAATATTTAAATATGAGGGTAGGTTATTTTGGGCGTGATGACGCTTTAAAGCAAAGCAATGGCTTTAAGCAAAATAATTCGTTGCCTGACTAGGATAACAGCATGGACGTAGATATGATAAAATAAATTAAAGGGTTATATTTGAATTTTTGGGATTTATGATTGAAAGTCATAGGATCATGGCGAAGAAAAAAATAGTCCAGAACCATTTTTAAAACTAAAGTGCAGTTTTAGCTTGTATGAACAATTTTGAACTGGGAATGTTTACTTTCGGGTTAAGAAATTACTTAATTTTTCTTCTTATCAAATTGAAGTTTGCGTGGGGAATGTTAGAATGTTAATTTTAAAACCAAAACATGTAACGTAAATTTTACTTTTTAATTAGAAACCATTCACATTATTTTATTCGACTCCAGGTCAAAATTGGACAGAAATTGGAAAATATGAATTTTCGATTTTAAGCTTTCTGCAGCACCTCAATTGTGTCATATGCCATCTATAATTAACTGACTAAGTGGTCACTGGAGAGAAATTCAGTCAGAACTGTGAAATTTAGGTCCAGGAATTAATTTTATCTAAAAAGAAGAAAATGGGACAGAGAAAATGAGAATATGATTTTTTAATTTTGTCTGCGATTTTGACTTCCAGTGCCCTAAATTTGGTTTCATACCATCATCAGTTAACTGACTAATTGGTTTCTAGGCAAAAATCCATCTAATCTGTCAAATTTGTGTTCAGAAAATTTCCTATTTGAAAATGGGACAGAAATTGGAAAATATCAATTTTTGTTTTGTTATGCTTTCTGCAGCGAGCTTCCTCCGACCGAAATCAAAGTTCCAGCAACTCAATCGTGTCATATGCCATCTATTGTTGACTTACTAATTGGTTGCAGGTGAGAAATTCAGTCGAAACTGTAAAATTTCGGTCCTGGAAATTTCATCTTCGAAAACTGAAAATGGGACAGAGTTTGGGACAATATGATTTTACAATTTTCTGCCATCTATATTCTATAGTATCTGCCCTTTTTCTGAGACTCTTTTATCGGAGTTGAGTGATCTTGTTCCTCATGACTGTATGTATTACCACTGCTGGTAGGCTGCAGAAAGGAAAGTGAAACTTAAGGAGCACATGTTTGAACGGTAATGTGTTTGAATTAGATCAGGAATTTCAGAACTTACTGAATCTTCACGTATAACGTAACGTAAAACTTAAAACGTTACAGGTTTGAAGTTGAACACGTCCTCACTCTTTGTAGTGTAGTTGTCGGGGTGAGTTATTAACTATAAGTACTATGGTAACTATGGTAACTAGCAGTAAGTTAAGTACCACCCCAACATTACAATCCCATTTTTTATGAAAACAAGCAAAAAACTAGAAAGGAAAGAACTTCCGTTTCATGAAAATGTTGTTCCAAAATAGAAACATTGCACAAAAATATTGATGGCACTCCTGAAGAGGTAGATCTAAAACCACGCACATACCAGCTTAAGGCAGACAGAACTGACGTAGGTCAAAGTAAATAGTTAATAACTGTAGCTATGAAATAACCCCAAGAAAGCACTCAATACTGCTGGGGTCGAACTGCGCCAGGTTATCGTTATTACATGAAATATACGTGCCAAGCAAGTTATCAAGGTCTAACAATCCATCGCCATGGTAACAATCCGCTACTATTTTGCTCTAAATTTCTCATCACCACCTTATTGTCAGATTATAATCTTCAAGATTGACGATCTGGCACCATAGTCATAGAATGATATTGGGGTAGATTGACTTTATCTACATCAACATTGACTCGATAAATTTATAGCTATAGCGCAAATTCTTGTTATGTATTGAGCTGTTTTCTCGAGTCGATCTTATAGAGTTTAGCGCCACGTATTTTTAATAACAGTGGTCAGTGACTCAAACCACAGAATTGCGTAAAATAAATTGACTATTTTCACAGCAACTATTTTTATTTAATTTGGGAGGACATTGAAATTAAATGGACGGAAATAATTTGGGTGGACAATGGAAATTATATTATGAAGTCCGATAAGTCTTATTTCCTTTGAATTAAATCCACAGTTCTCACTTATCTGTGTAAACTGTAAAGGGGTCTTATTCTAAAATCTAATCTGCTGTACAATTTGGTTATAATATGCCATGTACAGCTACTCCATGCATAATGCATATTGCATTTGATATAAACAAGTAAACATGTTATTATCCGTTATTCAGAGAAGATTTTAAAGTAAGAGACGTGAAAAGGAGCGTAGAGTGATTCTCATCTGGATTATGATTAATCTGGATTATGATTAATCTGGATCATGATTAATTTTCATCAACTTCTCTTCTGGGAACCCCTTCAACTCTTCAAGGACATCGTCGAAGGGGAAGACCACACCTCACATATATTGACATCCTTCGGAAGGACACGGGGCTTGACGTTGAAGCCGCCCTAATTAGGGCGGCTTCAACCTCCGAACAGAGATAGTTTTTCTCAATATCTGTCTATCCAGCATGAGTTTGTTAATCTCCTTGCTGCCGTCAAGCACCGTGTCCTTCCGAAGGATGTCAATATAAGTCGAGTCGTAAGTCGTATGATTAATCTGGATTATGATTAATCTGGATTATGATTAATCTGGATTATGATTAATTTGGATTGTGATTAATCAGCCTACGGAAAATAATATTGATATTCCCCTAGGCGATTAATCACTCAGTGATTATTCGCCTAAGGGAATATTAATGATATTTTCTGTAGGCCGATTAATCATCATCCAGATTAATGATAATCCAGATCTTGGACCCGGCCCTCAGCTAACATGGGCACAAGGTATTGAGAATAAACGTTAAGACTTAATAACAGTAGCTACCCAACAAACCCATGTTAAGACGTAGCAGTCACCAGAGCATATCGGTGGACCCGGTAAATAAACAATAAGACTGTATTGCCATGCCCCTCATATAAGTATAACTATATTAACCCGATCAACCGCGCTATGATCAGGCATCCTTTACCACTCTAATATATGCACATAAACCATAATATATAATTATCCTCGCAAATATTATTATCCTCGCATATATTGACACTCACTATTAAATAATGTAATCCTATCGCACAGGGGATATGAGATATAGCTATATCGTATATAGTGTATATAGTGTTAAAATGATATTATGTAGTCAGGGTAAATAGTAATAGGTACAGTTCTGACTCGCTGGTAGGTAATTCCGACCCGCTGGTAGAGGGTTTATCATGTCATGTCACGTATCTCAAATCTTCATGAGATTTGATCGGATCCTTTTTATGGAAACTATTATAGCGTTCATAATGATTGCAATCCAATATTTTCAACAAATAAATGTCAAAGATTTGATTCTGAAGGAAACGCCAGAAGTGAAAAAACACAACATAGAATGTTAAAGATTTCTAAGCTTCAGTGGGGAAGATCAATGATGACTCTGCTTAGAATTAAAATGATGTTCAGAAATCAATATATACAGAGTAATCTTTTATAAACGACATGGGTCTTATAAAATATTAAATACAGTTTAAGATGGGAAACTGTGGTACAAATAAAGTACAGGGTGGTCCAGAAGTAACTGCCAACACGCAACCCTTTAAAGCTTTAAATTTAATAACTCACGCAATTCGTGTCAGAATTGCTGAAAATTTGTTGTATTAATAACACTAAGACACTACGTCAGACAAAAGTGAATATTTTTTGCAATCGATTTGGTCAACATCTAGACGCTCTGCAAAATTTCAGATCTCTAACTCAATTTGAACATGGTTTTTAAGGCACCTGAATATGCCAATTTTGGGTTTTTTCCGTGTTTCGTATAACAGTGCTGCAGGCGCGTATTTTGCGCAAAAATTCTTATAAACCGCCACATAACTATTTCTTATTCCTGTCATCTTTGACATTGAATTAGAATGTTTTGAACTTAAAATATGCCTGCTGAACGATTTTCGATTATTCTTCATGCCTGGAAAAACAGTAAAGCCAAATGGAGTATTTAATAGTATAGGGGGTAAATACTAATAGTATAGTGGGTATAATGGCCGCAGTCGTGCTTGCCAGCACTTTGATAACAGTAAGACAATAGTAATACGTTAGACCCAAGTGAACATTAACTATATTCTCTAAAGAATACAATTAAAAGTTTCTGTTAATGGACGTTCACCAATTGAGCAGTTGATCGCTTTGAATGCGTGTGATATTAAAACTCCATTAGCAAATTTAATAGAATGGTGCTTAATATAAATAGGATCCAGCCGGCTATAGAAGGGGTACTTAGGGACACTCAGAATGGTTTTCGAGAAGGACGGTTTACCATTAGTCATATCTTGGCACTCAGGAGGATTCTAGAGGGGGCTAGAAATCTACCGGCAGCTATGGTGTTTGTTGATTTAAAAAAGACCTTTGACTCACTTCACCGGGGAATTTTGATGCGAATACTAAAGGCCTATGGAATACCGGACAATATCGTGGATATCATTAATCTTAAATCTACTCTATGTCAACACGAAGGGCAAAGTTATAACACCAGATGGGGATACCGAGCTATTTGATATCTTGGCAGGGGTTCTACAAGGGGATACTTTAGCACCATACTTGTTTATAATTGCCCTAGACTATTGCATGAGATAAGCCTTCAGCAAGCACCCTGAAATAGGATTTACCATCAAGCCTTATAGGAGTAGGAGAGTCAAGGCGGAGAAGATATCGGATACTTCTTTTGCGGATGACATTGCTCTGATAGCAGATATTGTAAAGGAGGCAGAGACGCTGATTCAAAAGGTAGAAAGGGTTGCTGCTACAGTGGGACCAAATTAATTACTCAGAAAATCAAGAATCCTGATATCATCAAGTCCCTGAGTAACAGCACAATAGAGCATGTGGAAGACTTCACTTACCTGGGTTCTAGAATCAGAGACAGTGAGAGTGATATCAGGGTCAGGAAAGGAAAAGCATGGGGAGCATGCCACACACTCAAAAAACTTTGGAATTCTAAGCTTAGGAAGTCTATCAAGATCAGAGTGTTTACAGCACTAGTCGAGTCGGTGCTTTTGTACGGTTCAGAGACTTGGACTATGACGAAAAGGCTAGAGAAGATGGTTGATGGTTGCTATACGCGAATGTTAAGAATGGCCCTTAACATCAATTAATATCGAGACCATGTCAGCAACCACAGCCTGTACGGTGATCTTCCCAAAGTCAGCTCCAAGATAACCCAACGAAGGCTTCGAGTATCTCGGTCATCTGAGAAGCTATAACTCTTTTCAGGACAAACGTAATACGAATGGCCAAACACAATTCAGTAAAATTTAGTTCGATCCGACTATCCAAATTATCAAATAAATGCGAAAATGAACCTTCATTTGAAAAAAATGA